CCCCCCCCACCCCCTCGCTCCCCCCATCACTTTTTATGACTCCGCCTAAGACTCCGATTCTTGATTTTCACTAGGTCATAAGCGCTCTTACGATTCCGCTTACGACTCCGACGGCGGCGAGTCCTACGCTAGTGAAAACCAGCCTTAAACCCTGCACTTGCACCACTTCGTACATTTCTCCGTCGTCATCACCCGACTGCCATGTGAAATTACCTAATTTAACGTTTTATGGAGGATGTAGGTAGACTCGAAACAACGATTTCCTTTGACGTACATACATGTTGGGAGGAACCAAGAGTAGTCAGGTCGAGGTACCGGCGTGAATAAAAATAACGTTTCTGCAGTTTAATGTTTCCCCTGAAACGTTCACGTTTCATTTAGTATTTAGACACCATTCACCATTTAAAAGCATGTAATATGTTATTAATAGTTTTCATAATTACAGGCCTTTTGTTCACCACCATTTACATACCGGTTTACATTTTTAGTATTGAAGGCAAAAGTGGGACACCAATAAATGTAGTAATCTCAACGTGCCTTGATTTCGAACATTTTTTCTGGCCTGCCGTGAGGCTACGAGATTATATTCTTTATTAATAAATAATTTAGACTTTTACGTATTCTGAATAAAGGTAATTTCCGAGTTCCAAAAACCCTCGCTTTCAAACTGAGGCTAAGTGAAAATGTCATTTATTTGAATGACAATAGAAACTCACTTTCATATCAAAAGCAGTTAACCTAGCTTTAAAACAGAGTCTTGATGCAAGTCAGAAATAGCCGATTGGTTCTAACGTCTTTTAAAAATATGGATTCTACTGTACACAAGCTGTCGAACTGACTTATAATTTTTGTCCTTCTATCAGACGGCTCACCACTCTATTCGCGTTTCTACTCGTGTTGAAGGATGGACATTGTTATATTTGAATAGTAAGAAACCAGCAACTTAGAAAAAAATGGGCCATTTCCGAGTTCCAAAACTCTCACTTTCAAAACAAGGATAAGGGGGAAACCCTTTCCTGTGAAAATGAGCTTTATTTTCATGAGATTCATAGTCTCTCTTTGAAACAAAGGCTAGGGGCAACTCGGAAATGCCCATTAAAGTCACGAGTCAGATACTTTTTTAAGACGGGGCGGGGCAGGGGCTACTTCACGTTATTTGTAGACTGCAAGCAGTCTCTCTTTTTCTTCAGATTTAGAGAGGGGAGCGCACGGGCGCGCGAGCTTTGAGCGGCGAAGCCGCAAGAATCGAGGGACGAGGGTGGCGATCCCGTCTCGCGCCATCAGTCACGCGCGTGGTCATTTTCATGTCTCGAGCGTTTCGCTCGACGGGCCAAGAAAAAAGAGAGACTACTCGTAGTCTAATTAGTACTTGAATGAAATTATCCCTCACCCCTAGGTTAGCTTATAAGGGTAACGGCTTTGAAAGAACTGTATAGCTCTTCATCAAACCCCTAAAAGATTCTCAAACATTTGTTTCAATTACTCAATTTCCGCGTAGCAAAAACGTTCTGCTACTTCATTTTTCATGACAATTTTATGGCACAATGCTTCTTTAAGCTGTTCGCAGGTTGCAGCAGAACTCTGATTGTTTCTCCAGGTTTTCAGCATCTCGTAACATTGCTCGTACACGTCGTTTTGCTTGTTCATCTCTATCTGATCCAGTTGAGGATCTGTAAGACCCAAGATTCGTCCAATAACTTTCCATTTCTTGCACGTGATTTCACCTGCCAGATTGAGAATATCGATGTCTGCAACCTTTCGTAGTTTGCGTTGGTTTTCGTGAGGTTTTTCCTTGTGAGAAAAGACCAAAACACAAATCAGTTACCAGCTGTCGCGTCCTGCCCCTTTGACGTGTTACCAAGGAAGCACTTCTATCGTTTAGCGTTTATATGGTTTCTCGCTGGCTGATTATGTTGAAACGAAAAAATCTTCAAATTACATAGAAGTTAATTTTAGGTGAATAGGATAAAATTTATTTAACTTCAGTATCTCGTGCAAAAAACACGCTCAGATACTACGAAACTCAAAACCTTTGACTTGCGTAAAGAAGCTAATACGCCACATTTCCCATACTGCACCTTATTTGCCCCCCAAAAAAATCTTCGGAAATCTTCGGAAGGTGGTCGGAAATCTTCGGAAAATCATCAAAAACGCCGTCATCAGCATGTCTATATAATAAAAAGAACATTACACGGCGGCTTGAAGATATGAATTTTATTTTCTCGAGGCAAAAACAATATTTTACTCACTCGCTGCGCTCGTTCGCAAAATATTGTTTTGCCACTCGAAAATAAAATTCATATCTTCGCGCCACCGTGTAATATCCTCTATATATAGTTTCAATTAGTTTCATTGACTCGATTCATGTAATCAAAGTTGAAGTCCTTTAAGGGTCAAAAAAGGCTGGGCCACGCCCAGATTGGTCTCCTTTAGGGGTTTAATTCAAAAGTTCCGACCAGCATCCCCACCCCTTTCATATGGAAGTCCCCCCCGGGCCGTTTGCACGTAGCTTAAGGGTAGGGATGTCATCAATTAGTACCTTAACCCAACCACAAAATGCTCCTGCAGAGTTATGAAGAAGATATCAAACAAACTTCACTGAAGAGCGCTAACCATAATAATGTTTTGGTGATTTTTGTGGAGCATGGGATTAAAACTTGATAATTAAGTGTTGGCCCGATTTTTTCAAGTTTCAATCCATGTCCATCCGTATCAACAGATGTCAGGAAACAGTTTCAATGTCATTAACGTTAGTGTTGGAATTCAATTGATGTTAAGACAAGTTGTGGCTTTTTTTAAAAAACAGCAAATGGTGTGACGTACCCCCCCTTGAAGCAACCGCGACGAAGACCGATATGAGAACGCTAGGGATGGACCCGGGGGGGGGGGGGCTACTGCCATATGTTGGCTATATAGGTATGTGCCATGTCGCTGTGAAGGGTACGGTTTTCAAGCAGTTTACTGTAGGATAGGGTATATAAATCAGAGCGTTTGGGTCAAGAGGGTATCATTTTTCAGGAAACTGACCAGTTGGTTGAAGATTTTATGTAGACTAGGGATTGTGGTATAAGGTTTTGTTTTGGCTAGACTGTGCTATTGACCTAGTAGTTTCTGGAAAACAGCTACTCTAGGATAGGGGGGACTTGGGGAGTTTACTCTAGTACAGGGTAGCAAAAACTAGCTTTGGTATAGGTTAAGGGTTCCAGGGTCCAAGCGGCACATCCCCACCCAGAAATTCCTAAAGTACCCCTCCTCCGGGCGATGGACCATTAGAAATGTGATGGGGGGGGGGGGGGGGGGGGGGGGGATTTTTTAAAAAGAGACGAAAATTTTTTTTTGGTAAATTTAAAACCAAAAGGGGAAGGGGGCGGGGGGGGGAAAGGGG